TAAAGATGGAGGGCCGCAGTGGAAGACTAATGATATCAAACTTGAACCTCTACACGTGCACATGCACACACAGACACGCACACCACATACACACATAAATAGAAAAAAGAAATGGGACTTTGGGCTCATTGTTTAAATTCTCTTCGATTCAGTTTTCTTGCCTTAAATGTAGGTGCTAACCCAGTACCAGTAGCTGGGCTTATGGGGATGCAGAGAGAAAGGCGAGAAGGCACCTAGTGCAGGTGATCTGTAAACTGCTCTCCAGAAGGATCCCACCGGGCCTAGTTCACTTTTTCTTCCTTAAAGAAACAAGGGCTGGGCATGTAACTCAGGTGGCTGAGTGCTTGGCTAGCACATCCATAGTCCTGGATTCCAACCTCAGCACAACACAAACTGGGTATAGTGGCGGCCTACACCTGTAATCCTAGCACTCAGGAGGTGGAAGCAGGAGAATCAGAAGTTCAAAGTCATCTTTGACTATATAGTTCAAGGCCAGCCTGGGCTATATAAGATCCTGTCTTCAAAGGAGGAAAAAGAAAACTAGATCATCTAGGTAACTGAAAGGAGGCTCCTGAAATCTGTAAGCAAGAGTAGTCTTGGTGCTTGGGAGCAGCTGAGCACTCAGAAGAAAGCTACATGACCCCCATCAAAGGTGAGATGAGAGCTGAGGAGGTAGAAAGCCACTGGGCACTACATAGCTGTGGAGAAGGCCTCAGCTGGGCCCAGCTACTCCACTGGCATGAAAGCCTGTGGCCCAGAAAGTAGGAGAGTCTGCTTTCTCCCCTCTACACACATGGGAACTGAACAGGAGCTGTCCAATGAGAGGAAGGCAAGCCAGCCCAGCTCTGAACCGTCTCACCAGCTCCATTCCATCTCACTAGCTCGAACCCATCTCAAGTTCCAACCCACCTCATCAGCTCGAACCCATCTCAAGCTCCACATCACCGCCCTCTCTTTGCATTTTGAGCTTCTGCTGCACCCGCTTCCTTGTTTCTCGAAAATGCTCATCTTCCCCACCCACACCCCACCACCCACTCTCTGCTAATTTCTGCTGCTCTCCAGGTCTTGGTTCAAATATCACTTTCTCAGGGACTTTGGTCTCTGAACTGCTAGATTAGGCAGGCTGGCCTTGACCCACTCTAAGCCCTACATTTGAGTCCATTCCTGCTTGCCATCTGTCACCACGATTGACAGTGAAGTCATTTGTCTGGCACCTTTGCTGAGGGCAGCACCAACCCAAATCCATGATTCTGTGTCTGCTGGTATGTTTGCCAAGGTCTGTCCAGGATTAGCCCTCAGGAGTCATTAGTGGAAACAAAAGGTGGGGGGAAAGGAACCCCAACTCTGAGAGAAAGGACTAGATTTATCTTACCAGATAATCGGATCATGGGCTGGGGGTGTATCTAAGATGTCGAATGCTTGCCCAGCATCATCCCCAGCACCAAAAATAATAATAGAAGAGGAAGGAGAAAGGGCCAGAGCATGTGTGAATCAGATCCATGGTGGACAAGCTCAAATGTTTTATTTTTACTTTTCTACCAATATTGCCTCCAAACAAACTCAGCTCTGGAGAAAACCTGGCTGCCAGCATTCCCGACTGAATATTCATTTTGCAGCCGTGTCTCACTCTATTTCAAGGCCCAGCTCACAAAGACTCATGCTGTCCTCATCTCTCTGATATGGAAGCTGTGGTAGTGAATACTTCGAATTCCCCCTCCTCCCTGCTACCCTGCAGGTTGTCATGAACCAGGTCAGGCACAGGTCTGAGTAGTTTTTCCTCCTGTTGTTGGATCATGCTGGTGAGAAAGGGAAAAAAAAAAAAAGGGTGGTACTAAACCCAAGGCAGACCCTCTCCCTCTCCACTTCTTGTGTTCCCATCGCCACTATGGAGCTCCTGCCAAGCTCAAGTCTACCATCAAGATACCTTCAGAGCATTTTCTGTGCACGAACAAGAAATCACAGTTTATTTCCAGAGTTTTTCATCCTGGTTTTTCCTTCTCCTATATCATCTCTAAGGAAATCTCACATTCTTCTAGACTCCAGGGCTTGGACATAGCTCAGTGATAATGAGCTTTCCTGGCATGTACTACTTCCTAGATTCAATCCCTAATAAAGCAAATTCTCTCTTTTCTCTCTCTCTTTTTTTCTTTTCTTTTTTTTTCCTGTTCCTCTGGCTAGGATTTTAAGTACTATGATGACTAAGGGTCTCCCTGTAGCCCCAGCTGGCCTAGAACTCACTATGTAGACCAGGCTGGCCTTGAACTCAGAGAGATCCACCTGCCTCTGCCTCTGCCTCCTGAATGCTGGGATTAAAGGCGTACATCACTATTCCAGTCTCCAGATTCTTTTTTTTAAAAATGAATTTGATTATTACATATATTTATTTACTATGTGTGTGCATGGGTATGTGTGGGCCTATATGTTGCAGTGCTCATGTGGAGGTCAGAGGACAATTTGCAGGAGTTGGTTCTCTCCTTCCACCATGTTTGTCCTGGGGACCCAAACTCAGGGTGTCAAGCTTGGTAGCAAGCATCTTTACCTGCTAAGCCATCTTACCTGCCCTTCTTTTAGAGTCTTATAGGCCACAGACAGAAAACAGCTAGAAGGCCAGCTCTTCTTGAAGGCTATGAAATGGCAATAGAGTGCCTCCAGTAGCTGAAGAAAACTGCCAAGTATCAAACCCTCACATTAAGAAAGGGCAATGCTAAAAAATGCTTTACAGACATGATGCTATTTAACCCTCCCAAGAACTCTATGGAACACGTAACACCTCTGTTATTTTACAGACAAGGAAAACTGAGGCTTAACAAACCTAAGTAACTTCTTAAACTCACCTGACCAGCAAAGGGTAATAGTAACAATTACACCAGTATCTCTTTGCCCTCACAGTCTGATCTCGAAACTGTACTTTACTGTGAGAGTAATGGCTACTTGGGGGTTGGAGAGCTGTCTCAGTGGCTAAGAGCACTGGCTGCTCTTGTAGAGGACCCAGGTACAGATTCCAACACCCACATGGCAGCTAACAACCATCCAACTCCAGTTCCAGGGGACCCGACACCCCATTCTGACCTCCATGGGCTTTGCACAACATGGGTGCACTTACACACATGCAGCCAATATACCATATACATAAAATAAAAATAATAAATAAAATATTTTTGAAGATGGGCGTGGTGGCACACACCTTTAATCCCAGCACTTGGGAGGCAGAGGCAGGTGGATCTTTGTGAGTTTGAGGCCAGCCTGGTCTACATAGTGAGTTCCAGGACAGCTGGGGCTACAAATTTTCAAATTTTTTTTGGAAAAGAATAATGGCTACTTGTACCCTATTTTGACAGTTAAATAGAATAATGTCTATTTACAGGCCATATATAATTTTTTAAGACAATGTCTCATGCAGTCTAGGATGACTTTGTGCTCACTGTATGGCCAAAGATGATCTTGAACTTCTGATCCTCCTGCCTCCACATTCAAGTGCTGGGATTCCAGGCACCTCCTACAATACCTGGTTTATGTGGTGCTGAAGGTTTAACACAGGGCTTTGTGCTTGCTGTGAAAGCACTCTACCATCTGACCATCTGAGCCACATCCTCAGCCCATATTTACAAGACATTTCGATGGTTAAATGAGTCAATGCAGTAATAATAACACCACCACCAGTGAGAATATTGATGCTGTTTGATAGGTTTGTCTTAATTAATTTCCTGTTGCTATGATAAAATACTCTAACAAGCAACTTAAGGTAGAAAAGATTTATTTTGAATTACAGTTACAGAGGACTACACTCCTTCCTGGCAGGAAAGACCTGGCAGTAGTCAGGGAAGGCATGGTGACATATGCAGGGGGCCACCTGGTCACTTTGCATCCACACTGAGGAAACAGAAAATGAACAGGAAGTGGGGCCCAGCTATAAAGCCTCAAGGCCCATCCCATCCCCCCAGTGACCCACTTCCTTCACTGAGGCTCCACCTCCTAAAAGTTCCACAGCCTTTCCCAACAGCTGACACCAGCTGGGGGCCAAGTGTTCAAACCACAGCAAGGTGTTAGCTGCTAACATTTTTATTGTGTTGTTTGGATGTGAAATGTCCCCCAGTTGCTCATGTGTTTAAACTTACCTGGCCCCTAGATGGTGGCATTGTTTGGGGAGATTCTAGGACATTTAGGAGGTGGGGCATCACTGGTGGAAATGGGTCATGGGGTAGGGGGCTTGAAACTGCTAGCTGTCCAGTTCTACTAGGACATCTTGACTGCAGATGTAAGTAGCTGCCCCAACCACCCCAGCCGTGAGCAACATCCACTGCTACGCCTCCCCCAATATGATGGGCTGTACCTACCTCTCATCTTTTCTATTTAATGTGTGGTGCTGAGAATCAAACTTAGGGCCTCACACATACTAAACAAGCACTCTACCACTGGACTTTATCCGTAACCAGGACTGTATCTCCTTAAACCTTGAGCTAGAATTAATCTTTCCTCCCTTAAGTGGCTTCTTTGGAGTATTTTATCATAGCAACTGAAAAAGTAATGAATACAGTCTCATCGTGAGCCCTGACATAGAAATATTATCACCTTGAAGATGGAGAGGACAGCACTCTTAAGCATTCTTTCCTGGTCTGGCCTCTGCCTGGGATCTGATCACAGAAGCCTTTGTGATATGAGCATTTATCCACCAAGATGGCCATGGCCAGGTAACTCAGTTCTCCCTGGGTCAAGGATGCACCACCAAATGGGCCCCAAACAAACACCCAAGTGGGATTTGAAACACAGCTGGGAAGGTGACAAACCTCAGCTTCTGTCACCAGTTCCTAGAACTAGGTTGTTTCCCCACATAGCGTCTGTCACGATTCCTGCAAAGACAGAGCTGAGTGACAAGTTAAAAGTCTTTCTTTTTTTAATGAAGTGACAGCTAAAAAAAAAAAAATTAAGAAAAATCCTCCTTTTTTAAAAATATGCTGACCCGAAGAGACCTTGGAAAAATGGATGGTACTTTTTTTTCTCATAATATTCCAGCTTATATATGTCAAACTCATGTTGAACAATGAGTTCTGAGTCATAAAGTTATTTATTTTTTATACATGTCTATAAGGCTTTGTCCACAAGGAAGACAAAAACAAACACAAGTGCAGGAATGGAACACTTTCACAGCAGAAGATACCTTTAGAAAACCTAGAGCCAGTAGCTGAGGATATAGCTCAGTTGATGCAGCACTTTCCTAGCATCCTCAAAGCCCTACATCTGATCTCAAGCACTGAATAAAATCAGGTGTGGTAGCACACATGTATAATCTCAGCACTTTGGAAATACAGGCAGGATGACCAGGAGTTGAAGATCATCCTCAAATACATAGCAAGTTCAAGGCCAGTCTGGGCTTGAGTCCCTGTCTCAAAAAAATAAAAAAATAAAAGAAGGGGGCTAGAGAGATGGCTCAGTGGTTAAGAACACTGTTCTTGCAGAAGACCTGGGTTCAAATCCCAGCACCCATATAGCAGCTAACAACTGTCCATAACTCCAGTTCCAGGGGATCCGACAGCCTCTTCAGTCCTCCTCAGGCATTGCATGACACAGGCGTGCACTTACTTACATGCAGGCATAACACTCATACACATAAAATAAAAATAATAAAATATTTTTAAAAAGAAAAGAAAAAGAACAAAAGAAAGCAACCTAGGCCTATTTCAAAGACAGAGTCAAAGTTTATATACATGCATATCTCAAAACCAGCTTGTTAAGTCAAATGCGTCCCCACCTCCACTGTTGTATTTTAATATGTTAACTTTTAGTTGTTATTTCATTATTTTTATTGTACTTTAATCATACTCAACCCCATTACCATCTCTTGTCCTCCACCTCTCCTGCTTATCCTTTCCCCTTACCCAATAATCTTCCTTATACTTTCATGTCTTTTTAAATTTTAATTTCTGTATATGAGAGAAATATGCAATAGTTGTCTTTCCAAATTAGGCTGATGATCTCCAATTCCATTCCTGTTTCTATAAATGATGTAATTTTATTCTTTATGACTGAATAAAGCTCCACTGTGGCCAGAAGTGGTGATGGACACCTTTAATCCCAGCTCTCAAGAGGCAGAGGCCAGAAGAGGGCTCAAATTGCCTGTACTGGAGTTATAGACTGTTGTTAGTTGCCATGTGGATGCTGGGAACCCAGCCTGGGTCCTCTGGAAGAGCAGCAAGTGCTCTTAACCACTGAACCATCTCTCCAGCCCCTATTTTTCATTTTTGAGATAGGGTGTCATGCACCTTACACTGGCCTCAAACTTGTACAAGAAGAGGATGGCCTTGAACTTCTGATCCTCCTGCCTCCACCTCCTGAGTGCTAGAATTAAAAGCGTGTACCCTCATGTATGGTTTTATGTAGTGCTGGGGATTAATCCTAGAACTTCATAAATACCAGGCAAGCACTCTACCAAATGAGCTACATCCCAAATCCTCCTCCAGAGAATTTTAATTCCGATGTTCTCCTCTGTAATGTAGTGAATGAAGAGGTAGCAAAGCCAAGCGCAATAAATAGGATTTTGGAGTCAGAACTGTCTGTGTGTATCCTATGCCTCAGTTTTTGTCTGGGAAGCAGGCCCAGAAAGCTACCTCAGAAATGCAATGTGGGCATTCAGAGAGGCAAACATGGCTGGCAGAGTGGGTTCCCCTTCTCATCTCCCTCACTCACCCCTTCTTTCCTGGGGCAGAAGACAAAGTTTTTTTTTTTTTATCCATGTGTCCTCTGTGATATTTTTCTTATGTTTTGTTTTGGTTTTGGTTGTTTGTTTTCAGTACTGGGAATGGAACCCAGGGCCTTGTACATGCTAGGTTAGTGCTCTATCACTGAGCTATATCTTCAGCCCTTTTTAAAATTATTTAGTTTAATTAAAAAGTTGTTTAAGCCGGGCATAGTGGCACATGCCTTTAATCCCAGCACTCAGGAGGCAGAGGCAGGCAGATCTCTGTGAGTTCAAGGCCAGCCTGGTCTACATAGTGAGTTCCAGGACAGCTGGGGCTACAGGGAGACCCTGTCTCAAAAAGACAAAAAAAAAATTTGTTTAAATGTATTTTTAAAATATATTTATGAGTGTTTTGCCTGCATGTATGAAAGTGCATCATGTGGGTGAAGTACCCTTAGAGGTTGGAAGAGGGTATTAAGTCCCCTGGAACTGGAGTTACAGATGGTTGTGAGCCATCATGTAGGTTTTGGAAACCAAACCTAGGTTCTCTGCAAGAGCAGTCAGTGCCCTTAACCACTGAGCCATCTCTCCAGCCTCCTAATTTTATTTTATTTTTTAAATTTTAAGACAGGGTATCATCTCACTAAGTTCCCCAGACTGACCTTGAACTTGTGATCCTCCTAAGCTTCAGCTCCTCAAGCTGCTGGGTTTACAGGCCTGTGCCACCATGCCTGGCTGGCTCCTTAAGCAATGCTAGGGCATATTGTATCACTTGAGACAGTGTTAAGGTCTGGAGCCTCCTCTCAGTAGGTGATTTGACAAGAACATGTAATATAGTCCTGGCCAATGAGATGGGAGGAAAATCAATCTGCTGGTGAGCCTAGGGGAAGCTGTTTTTTTAAAGGGGAAATGTGGGACTGGAGAGATGGCTCAGTGGTTAAGAGCACTGGCTGCTCTTGCAGAGAACCATGGTTCGGTTCCCAGCACCCACATGGCAGCTAATAACTGTTCATAACTCCAGTTCCAGGGGATCTGATGCCCTCTTCTGGCCTCTGCAGGCATTGCATGTATGGGTACACTTACATATATACAGGCTAAACACTCATAAACATAAAGTATAATCAAAAACTTTAAAAGAAATTTTTACAAAAACTTTATTGAGAATTTCATATATGCATATAAGGTGTTTTGATCAAATCCATGCCCACTCCCTCCCCTCCAACATTCGCCCCTCTGAAGAGGTAACCCTAAAATCTTTTAAGGATTAGATACAAGCTCCCAAATACTTTTGACATTTTTGGCCTTGGAACAGAGTATGTTGCTAACAGGCCCAAGGACATTTTGACTTTTAGCCAAGAAACTGGCTACATTTCTTTGGGGTCTTTTTACCCTAACTGCCTACCCAATTCTTACCACCTATTCTTATCACGCCATCCTCTGAAGGGGTTACCTAAATTGCCAGTAGGGAATCGGGATGCAGACCACTCTGGCTTCTTCCATGCTGAACAGAGATGCAGGGTGAGGCAACTGGAGTACTCCTTCAGTGGGTCTATCTAAAAGACTCCCAACATTTTTTAAAAGGGGGGAAATGAGAAGGTATGCTTTCTGTTCTATCTCTGGATACAGTCCTCTGTGTGTGATACATGAAAATGTGGCCATTTTTAGACCATAAAGAGAACCATCCATGATTGGAAGATGGTGAGGGCAGAACAAGAAGGAACCTAGGTACATGATAATGACATTAGGCTAGTGAGTTACCCAGTGTGCTGGTTTGAATGAGAAATGGCCCCCATAGGCACATGTATTTGAACACTTGGTTCCCATTTGGTGTGGAGGTTTACGAGGTATGACCTTGCTGGAGGAAGCATGTCACTGGGGATGGGCTTTGAGAGTTCATAGCCTGATCCCACTTCCAGTCTGTGTGTGTGTGTGTGTGTGTGTGTGTGTGTGTGTGTGTGTACCTTCTCCGTGTGCTTGAAGATGTGAACCCTCCTCAGCTTTCTGCTCCAGCCACCTCCTGCCATTCCTCCCCCACCATTATGATCTCTTCCTCTGAAACTATAAGCCAAAATAAACTCTTCTTTAAGTTGCCTTGGTCATGGTGTTTTATCACAGCAGCAGAAGAGTAACTAATACACACAGCTTTCTGTTTCTGTAACAAAATATCTGAGATAATCAACTTAAAAAGAGGAATGGTCCATCTGGGTTGGTTGTTTTGGAGGTTTCAGCCCATGATTGCTTGGCCTTGTCACTCTGGGTCTGTGATAAGGCAGCACATTACAACAGGAAGTGCTCACATCATGGCAACCAGGGAGCAGAGAGGAAGAATAGACCAGAGTTGGCCAATCTCCTTCAAGTGAACACACCCCAGGCCTTATTTCTGAAAGGTTCCAGCATTTTCCAACAGTGCCACAGGCTGGGAACCTTAACACACAGACCTTTAGGAGACAGTTGAGCTCAAACTGTAGCTCAGTGACTGAACCACACAGGCAAAGGCCACCTTCAGGCCATGTGTTAACAGGCTCATCACTCCTGGTACTACTAAACTGATGTGTGTTTTTTTTTAAATTTTTTTGGTCTTTTTGAGACAGGGTCTCCCTGTAGCCCCAGCTGTCCTGGAACTTACTATGTAGACCAGGCTGGCCTTGAACTCACAGAGATCTGCCTGCCTCTGCCTCAAGAGTTCTGGGATTAAAGGCGTGCGCCACCATGCCTGGCTAAACTGATGCTTTGTTACGTGTGTTAGAGGTACCCAGTAGCAGTCATCAAGCCTAATTGCAAGTATTTGCATCACAGTACACTTTTGTACCACCTTTGAAGGTCCAAACCTAGGCTTCTTTTGAACAATGAAATGTGCTTGAAAGTGGTGTGTGTTGTTTGCAGGTGAAAGTTTCTTTCTGCCACTGCACTTCCTTCCTCTGTCCCTGCCTCAACCATCAGAAAATGCAAACCTTTTTTGTTTGAGTTCCCCAAGGACTATCGCAAAAAGCTTTTGCAGCCAACATTACATATATGGATAATAACAAACTTGGATAATAAATGGGTAATAAAGACTGGAGAGATGGCGAGGCAGTTAAGAGCACTGGCTGCTCTTGCAGAGGACCCAGATTCGAATCCCAGCACCCACATGGCAGCTAAGAACCACCTTTAACTCCAGTTCCTGGGGATCTGATGCCCTCTTCTTACCTTCATGGGCATTGCACGACATGGGTACACTTACCTACATGCAGGCAATACACACATACACATAAAAAAATGATAATAAATAAATGGGTAATAAAGTTGATAATGATAAACCAATGAGATTCAAGGAATGTTTGTTACTGCAGCAAAATCTAGCCTTGACTGACTGATACACACTCTAACCAATACATTTAAGTAATGGAATGAAGATTATGCTAGAGGGAGATGGAGGTGTAAGAAATTACCTCTACTACTGGGTGTGGTGGCTG